GGCAAGTCACTTAACCCCAACTGCCTCACAAAAAAGCAAACCAAAAAAAAGATCACTGGTGATTTTGGAGACTGTTGTCAGTTGAATGGTGACATTGGAAGCCATATTTTAGAGGCTTTAGAAGCGAGGGGGAATGAACTCTGAGTACAAAATGAAGCATACTTTTTAAACTTTTTTCCATTGCTTTTTTTTCAACATGCATGGCTATTATGGGAATATGTTTTTCGTAACTTCACATGTATAATGAATATATTGCTTGCCCTTTCAATGGATGGGAAAGGAGCTAGAGGGGAGGGGTGAATTTGGAACTGAAAATAAAAATGTAAAAAAAAATTTACATAGTGGCAAGTTCACACCTTTCTTAGCTTTCCGAAGGAAAAAAGGGGAAGGAGGAATAAGAAGAAGGAAGAGGAGGAAGAAGGAGGAGGAGAAAGAAGTGGAAGCACCCCAATTAGACATTTTTTTCAATGTCTTTAGCTGTGAAGGGAAGGAGATACAGGGTGATAGTTACCAGGGGTGATGAGGATCTACTGAGGATTTTTTCAGACGGTAAATTTTTTAGTGTTTTTAAGAAATAGGAAAGGAGTCTGTAGATAGCTAGAGACTAAAAATTCAAGAGAGTGAAAATGATAATGGAGGCAATCTGCTGGGGAAAGGGAGAAAGGGTAGGATCAGGGATGCACGTAGAGGCCCTGGCAAGGAGAAGCAACATCTCTTCACTGTGTGCACGTGGGGGAGGCAATATATAAGCCAACTGGAAAATCCAGAAGAGACCTTTAAAAGGTCTACTGTTAACCAATTTCTTTTATGTGCTTTTGCAATGTGTTACTGGTCATTTTTATTTCTGGGTAAATTCTGAGAGCTGTGTGTTCCATACCCCAAATCATAATATAGAACTATGAAAAAGGTTTGCTTCTTTGGAATAAGTGTCCTTTATTTGGAGGCAGAACACTTGGGTTCAGTTCTCAGTTCTACCATCCACCATCCATGTGACCTTGGAAAATAACTGCCATTTATATAACAGCTAGCATTTATCCAGCTCTTTAAGGTTTGCAAAGCTCTTTACATCATTTGATTTGCACAACATCCTGAAAGGTTGGTGCTATTATCATGCCCATTTTATAGATGAAAAAGTGAGGCTAAGTGACATGCTTAGGGTTACACAGCTAGTAAGTGCCTAAGATGGGATTTAACCTCCCTTTCTCTCACTCCCAATTCAACACTCCATTCCCTGTTACACCTAAGTGCCCACAAATTACTTAAGCTCTCAAGTCCTCAGTTTACTCCTATGTAAAAATAGGAAAATTGGATCAGACTTCCAAGGTCACTTCCAGCTCTATCTCTGACATTCTGGACCCCAATACATAGCCTTTTTGTTGCAATGTAATGTAATGTACAAAGAAGAGGATAAATTTGGTGCATGTTACCTAAAAATTCACATTTATAGAATTGTGAGGTCTCCTTGGACCACGAGCTGTCATATTTATCTCTGCATCTCTGCCAGCAGCATGTCATCATCTTAGTCCACATTTTGATCTCAGTCTCGTGGAAGGTGGAAGAGAGATTTTAGAAAGAGGATTACCAAGGGTGCAGGTTTTATTTAAAAAAAAAATGGACCACAGTGGAGTACGTCACTGAACAGGAGCTACATGTTGTGTTGACAGCTGTAACAATTGATCCCTCACCAAGTCCAGACCCAACTTCTGAGGTCTTAAAGGTGAGCAGAATTCAGGGGATGAAAGAAGGTTTATAAGAAAATGTGAAGATGAATAGAAAAATAGCTGTGTCCAAAGCAAAACCTTATTAGGGTGATATGTGAATTCTATACCTCCTCTTATTATGAAAGTACTGTGATACTCAGCATGCCCCAAGCATGAAGATGTTATAATACTTGGGGATTTTTTTTCAGAGTAATACAATTCCAATTATTTTGAATAATGCAAGTCAATGAAAATTTCTTTTTCTACAAATAACATCAGAATAATAGCAGGACAAAGTGGAGCTGATGGGTGGTGATAGAAATACAAACAAAAGGAAAGAACATCAAGAAAACATTAAAGAACGGTTCAAAAAATGAAGAAGTTCAGGAGGGGCCAAAAATAAGGCAAACTTTTTACTACCTTGTTAAATTTAACATGTTTTTGAAGATAAACTATGGAACAGAATTTCATGGTTTCATATAAAGTCATGCTTTTTTGTTCTTTGTACATTAAAATGCTTGTGATTGTGATAAATTACAAAATAAATATTACATTCCATATTACAATATATATTATATTCAATACAATAATCATATGTGATATAATAACATGGACAGCTATGTGGTACAGTGGGTAAAGCACCAGGCCCCGAATCAGGAAGACTCATCTGTGTGACCCTGGGCAAGTCACTTGACCCTATGAGGCAATCATTTTCTTCATCTGTAAAATGAGTTGGAGAAAGAAATGGTAAACCACTCTAAGGTCTACCAAGAAAACCTCAAATGGGGTCACAGAGTTGGACATGACTGAAACAACTGAACAACTATAATAACAAATAACTATAATATCTTAATAAAAATGAAAAAAGTGATAAAAAAAAGTCTTAAAAATCATAGCAAAACTAGCCATTCGAATTTCTGGAACTTTGTACTTCTGTTAAGGATACGTCTGTTTTAGTTATGGTCAGAGAACCACACACATCCAGGCTACGCACATCCACATTTGACCCCACCATTCTTCCAATAGCTTTAGTTAAAGGGAGAGAAGGAAGATATTCCCAGATGTATTGTTCATCGCTTTCCTTCACATACTATGCATTCTGGCCAGATGGTTCCTTTCCTTTCCTACCTCTTATGCTGCCGCACAGGCTGACCCTTGTGCCTGGCATGCTCCCTCCTCACCTCTGTTTCCTTCCAAGCTCAACCCACATGTCATCTCCTATACAAGGGCATTTCTCTGACTCAGGGGCTCCACTCTGTTTTACCTTGTGTTTACTTTGTAGCTCTCATATTTTAATATGTGTATATGTCTCCCATCAGTAGAATGTAAACTCCTTGAAGACAGAGATGTCTTTATTTCTCATTTAATCTCATTTAATGCCCACCACACACTAGGCACTTAACAGATGAGTGTTGAATAAATGAAAATAGACATTGGCTGGAATGGCTTCACTACATGAAAATGTCTAGAGTCTTGGAGGGCAAGAATGGTTTTTCCTTTTGCCTTTATGCCTGGCACTTAGTGTGTGTTTAGTAAATGCTGGTTGGGTTGGGTTGGACTGGATCCTAAGAAGCCCTCCTTTGTAGAAGTTCTGGCTTTTTGTAAAGGGTCTTCCTAAGCAGACTTCAGATTTCCAACTCTGAGTATTTAAAGACTACGTAAGGGTTCAGCTTAGGTCAAGTGATTCAATTCTTGCCATCCGATCTCTCAGCTTTCTAAGTCGTGACACTTTTCTAAAGGTCACCAACTCCGGTTTGGAACTGAGAAGAAACCGATGCACCAGAGAAAGACAGCGACCTTTTGTCTAATGTTGATATGTCACTCATCTGTTCTTTTCCTTCTTCTTTTGGTGTGCTTTAATAAAAAAGAACATTGGGCAAAGAATCCAACAACCTTTGTCCTAGAAGTAACTCTGTGATGAGTCCCTGACAGTGCAGTCCAATAACTTGAACTCTTTGGGCCAGTCTTCTGATCTGTCAGGTGGGGATAAGATAGTGGTAAGAATCAAATGAGATTCCTGGAAGGGCTTTGAAAAGCTGTCCAATACCATAATAATAATGATTAACAGAGGAGGGCCATAGCGTCTCCCCAGCACCTGGCACATTACCTGGCCCATAGCGTGTACTTAATGTGTGGTTGTTGATTGATTGGCCCCAAAGTATCGTCATATATTCTGAAACAAATGCAGTAGCAGAGAAAATACGCCTAAACCTACAGTGGAAAGAGGAGTCAGGTGGACTCAGATCCCCCTTCTGACATTACCTGGGCCATCCTGAGCAAGTCTGTTAGCTTCCCTGGTCCTCAGGTCTTTCATCTGTAAAATAAAAGAGCTGAACTAAATGAGTTCAGATCCTCCCCCACTACACTTACTACCTGGGCGATCTTGGGTGAGTGGACCTCTTTCATCCATACCACAAGAGGACTGCACTAGACGACCTTCTGATATACCTTCCATCTCTGGATCTATGACCCTGTGTCCTTAGCAATGACCTTTCTCATTTTAAAAACAATTGTGATTTCTGGCAGTGTTCCCTATCTGTGTGACATTACAGTTTCCACTTACATATGGCGTACTGGCTAGCGCAGCGTTTCTACGTATTTCTAGCACCTTGAACCACTGGTATGGGCTTGTGCCTGAGCACTAGCACGAAGTTGAAGGTCGTGTTCCTTCCACCTAGAGATAATTAATAAATAAATAAAACAAAAAAGGGAGCCTGTTCTGAAAAACGGTGTTGAAAGGTCTGTAAAATTAACATTTTCGTTATTAATGGAAAAATGAGGGAGGAAAATCTGCTTCCCACATTTCTGGAAGCCTTTCATCGGCACCAGCTGCGGCTAAGAGAATCCTTTCTCCTCCAAAGCCTGTTATGCAGGTGAGTGGGGTATTTTATAATGAGTTCTAGGCCACCTGCCTTTTTGAGGAAATTAAGACCAAGATGGATATCTTGTCTTTTTTGTCCTCAGTGGATGTGGCTAAGACCTTCCCATTTGGTACATCTCTGCACCCCATACAAATGAACAGTAGATGTTGTTGTTTGGTTATGGACGATTATTTTTAAGACGTTTTCTAAAGCGCATTTCTGAAAAGAACTTCTTGAGGGTTTTTTTTTATTATTATTGAAACATATACTGCCCTAGGTAAAGGAATAAATCAGCAAAAGCTATAGCCAGAGGTTTGAATTAAATGTGATTACCTATGGTGAATAAAGCAGTGGGCTTAGGTAGACTGTGTCAGCGACTCAAATGGTTGGCCAGTTTTAACCTGTTTTTAACAATTCTTCCTTCCCACCCATCCCCCAGTTGCCCATAGGAATATCCAGGAGATCTGATGGATTTGGGGAGCAACAGGAGTCTGGAGAATGCGGGGAACAGAACCTGTCATGATCAGCTGGCTCCAAAGATGAACATAAGCAAGAAAATTGTGACGCTGGCCAGCCCCCTCCATGCTCTGGACATGCCCCAGGAAATGAAGAAAATCTGCCCCTTCGAGAAGCAGGGGGAGATGGGGAATGAGAGGGTCAAGATGACAAAGACCTTGAAAGAAAAGCAGAGCAGCGAGCTGGACAGAGCCGGGCTCAAGAGGAGGATGGAGAGTGAGGAAAAGCCTCTCCCACTGAAGAGAGAGGCCCGGGTCGCCGAGCTGGAGAGCCAGCTGATGACTTTGCCTCTGCCTCACATCCCTCTGAAGAACATAATGGATGTGGAGATGAAGCTGGTCTACATCGACGAGGAAGACGTCACCTACGAGTTTGTGGAGTCACTGGTGTCCACCGGCTCCACGGCCACCTGTCAGGCGGCCGAGATAGTGGACTCTCTGAACGCGCCTCATTTCAGCTTTCTGCCCCAGATTGACAAGTGGCTCCAGGTCGCCCTAAAGGATGCCAGCACCTGCTACAGGCAGAAGAAATACGCCGTTGCAGCCGGGCAGTTCAGAACAGCCCTTGAGGTATGAAAATTAAGAAACTGCAGATCGGTGATGGAGGGCAGCATGGGGAGGAGGAGATTGGGATGGCCTGTGGTACTTCTGAGGGCATTGCAATGAACCAAGGAAGATGTTTGATGTTGCCAGGACTGTGAGGGACATCATCCATATATAGCCAATTATGTATACCTGCAAATTGACAAACGTGATGATCCGTGAGAGGGAGGGTGGCACCCTAAATTTAGAAGGACCCAGGTTTATGTCTCCCTCTGATCCATGCTCACTACAGGATAAATCACTTAATCTCTGTGCCCCAAGGCAACTCTCTAAGACTCTAGAGTATGTGGCTACTGGACTTGGAGCTGGGGAGGCTTGAGTTTTGTTTTTTTTTTTTTGTCTAGGCAATGGGGTTAAGTGACTTGCCCCAGGTCACACAGCTAGTAAGTGTTATGTGTCTCAGGCCGGATTTGAACTCAGGTCCTCCTGAATCCAGGGCTGGTGCTCTATCCACTGTGCCACCTAGCTGTCCCAAGGCTTGAGTTTGAATCCTGCTTCAGATACCCCATGAAAATCACAAAAAAAAAAACCCTCTCTATGCCTCAGTTTCCCCATCTGTAGAATGAGGAAGGTGGACTTGAAGATCTCCAACATTCCTTCTGGTTCTAAATCTGTGGTCCAGTGGATAGAATTTCCATACTTGGAACTCCCCAAACCAATCAAATCACAAGCCTAGGCTAATCAAACAACCACCACCACAGTAACAGCTGTTATTGATATAGTGCTTGGAGAGTCAAGGTGTAAAGATAGAGAGCTAGTCTCCCAGTCAGGAAGATGTGGCTTCAGACCCCCACTCTCACACCTGCTGGACTGGTGACTCTGCACAAATACCTTCTCCTCTCAGAGCCCCAGGCAATGCTCACAGATTTTCAATTACATAGAAAGTGTCAACTTATATTGGTAGAGGAAGCGTCCTCAGCCAGGAGTTCCATCTATCAGCAGAATCATATGTTCTTGCTATGCGCACGCGCACACACACACACACACACACACACACACACACACACATACTAAATGTGTATGTATGTGCTTATTTATATTGTATACACAAGTGTGCATATGTGCATATAAATGTCAATGTGTATATATTTATATGTATAGTTATATGTGTGCACAAAATACATATAGTATATACTATATTGCATCCAAAGTCCCCTCTTTGCTTTAAAGTTTAACACTTTATATACATTTTCTCATGTATAAGTATAAATACAAACATTAATCTATTCACATTTACACACATTCACATACATGTTTGTACATACATGTGCATGTGTGAGATAATGTCTATAAAGCACTTTGAAACCCTTGGATATATATATATATACATATATACATGCACACATATTTACATGCATACACATATACATGCACACATAGTTACAATATAAGCAATATACGTATGTTTGAAGCAATATATGTATATGTATTGCTTACGTATGAAGCAATATGTATATATACACACAATTATTCCTATGCGTGAGAAATTTTATATTAAGTGTTTTGCACACTTTTAAGCAAAGCAGGAAATCTTGAACATTATACTGTATACACATATGTGTATATTTACACATATGTACACACATAGATATACATATGCACATATATACATCTGTGTGTGTGTGTTTATACACTTATATCTGTATCTATAGCTATGTGTGTATTCTTGTTGATCTCCAAAGCTTCCCTCCCTCCATTTTTTTTTAATTGGGTCTTCCCATCTTACCCAAGCAGGGGCTACTCACAGATTTGATCTGCCTACTGATTAACACCAAAGGTTTGAGCTGCTGCATTTCAACCTTAGGTTAGTTTGTTCCTCCCTAGACCACCTGGTGGTCCCACATAGTATAGACACATCATCAGCTTAGCCCCCTTCATCTCAGCACTGGCTCAAGAGATCTGACAGTCTCAGCAGCTCCACCAGTTAGGACTACAAGTGTGTGCCACCATGACTAGCCCATGCACCCCTCTACATTGAGGATAGCAGCTCCCTGATGTGTCCATGAAAATAATGCCAAATATGTTAACCTAATAGGTCATGGGAAGCTCGAGAAGAGAAGGTTTGTAATTGCTGCTGTGGTGATTAGGATAGATAATAATTCAGGGAGGAATGAAAGATGCGTCTTACTCAGAAATATCATGTGGATTCTGCCACCCTGGTTTTATGACTTCCTCTGGCTCCACTCAGCAGCCCATGAGTGGGAGGTAAGGAAATGAGTGATGGGAATTGTTCAGGGTTGAGTTTTGGCAAGATGTGATTGGTAGTTGGACAAGGGACCAGAGGAGTCAAGAGTAGAGTATGGTATAGAATTGAACTGGTTCAGCCATGAGTCAAGACCAAGAAAGCAAGAGGCTGATGGCCTGATAAATTACTAAGGGTAGAGGGATGAGTCATCACAGTGAGAATGAAGAATAGGGTTGCAACAATGAGACACAGGAAGAGGCTGGATGATAAAAGAATGATCAGATAAAGGAATTTCAGAGTTCTGGAACACGGAAATAGAAGGCTTGGGTGTGACCAGGCAGAGTAAGAGTCAGGCTATGGCCATGACTGTATGCAGCTGACTTTGTGGCATGGAGGAGTCAGCCCTGCAGCATTCAGAAGCAAAGTTCGGCAGGGCTGTGCTTTACGCACGTGCTTTCCCCTAATTATTAACATGAGGTTTTCAGGGAGGTTCTGAAGGCATGAGGGTTTTCATCTCACCTATGATGAAACCGGGACTCATTGACTTGCCTGGGGTCACATATTCTGAGTGTGGTGGGTCAAATTCAAAGACAAGTCTTCCTTCAGTTTCTATCAGAGTCCAGCACCTCTACCTGCTCCTTTGCTCTCTTGCTTCAAAAAGGCAAAAAAAAAAAAGACAAACCTGTTAAGTGAAAGAAAATGTTCACGACAGTTCAAATCACAGTAAGAATTTCATGAGGAATTAGGCTTCCACTGTGTTATTCCAAGATCAGGAAAAGCCATAAATGACCCAAGTTTTTAAAGTTCTTTTTATCGGATTTATGTCTGATTTAACTCCACCAAGTGTAAAAATTAGAATTCCGATTGGAATCCTAGAAATATGCTAAATCACTTTCATGAATGCAGAATGAATCCACCTAAGCCTCCCATCCTTAGAACGTCAAGGAGGAAACTGGGCCCCAGAGGCAAAAACAGCACAGCTTGGAAGTGGAAGAACCAGGACCAGAACCTAGGTTTCCCGCCTCCCAGGGTGGGCCTCTTTTTATTGTCTTTCTACAAGGATATCTAAAACTTGGAAAAAGTCACATCCCCCAACTGTCACTGCCCAAGAGCCTGCCAATGAAAACACCTGCCCTGCCAGTGGAGATAGTAATGACTCAAGGAAAGTGATCAGAGAGTACTGATCAGGGGTTCTTGACCTTTTTTTCATGTATCCTGGACATGTCAGGCTGGTGAAGCCTGTGGGCACCTTCTCAGAATCATGTTTTTCAATGCACAAAGTAAGAACACAAAGGAAATCAGTTATATTGCAATACAGTTATAAAAATATATTGAGAGAAAAAACTTAACCCCCTAGCAGAAGATATTTCTCTGTAGGTCTATAATTTTATCAGTTTGCATGTTCCCTAAAATAATGCTTATCTCAATCCATCTGTGCTTTTCCATCCTATGTGACCTTGTTTTTCTCTACACTCCTCTTTTTCGATGGAATTCAGATAGAAACAATCCTGTGGCAAGTCACTACCTTGTTATTTTTTAATAGTCCATGTTTTAGGGATTGTTGCTCAGGTGTACAGAATAAGTGTTTTTGTAGCTGAAGAAAAGGACTAAGATGTAAGCTCATCCTCTGTGGTCTCATAGGAGCATCCTTAATGCTATTCTAGGACCAGATAGGACAACAAGACTGCTAAGCACAGACCTCATGCTTTAATCCAATTCCCATATGATTTTTTTATCTCTCCTGGTAGGTCTCTATATTGCAAAAGCTTCACATTCCATGAGCTTGTATATTATAAGAATTTGGTATAGCGACACGTATCTGAAATATTATTTTTAATAGATCGATATTTTGTCTAGACGATTTTAGACAGCAGCTTGGTCTGTAACAATGGTCTGATTTCACTATGGTTTATTGGACAAGACATCTTCAGGTCTGTGCAGTAATCAGGCTTCTTAAAGATAATTTATTTGTAATTACTGGTGGTAATAGCCTGGTGTTGAAATGTGATAATAAACTTCTCCATCTCCACAAGCAAATTGGCTTGACTCAGAAATGTGTTCGATGCTTCTTTGTTGATGTCGTTGTTGGATTCTACATGAATTTTTGCCCATGGAAGGCCTTTTGACTCCATTCTTGAATGGTAGCCATTTCACAGGCTCCATCCGTAATCGAATTTCAGTCACCCCAGAGCAGACCAGCATGATGCTGTGTATATGTTAACTGACCTTTACAGCTGCTTGGTGAAATGATGTCTGCTTGCTCTAGAAGTTGTTCTGGAGAGTTTTCATCTGTTGATTGCGTTCTCTAAAATTGCTTATCTATCCTTTACTGCTTTTTTGGAAAGGGAGTGTTAATCTTTCTATAGCTGCCTTAGAGTTATGATACCTTTTTTTCCACTAATGTTGTTCAAGTCTTTGTCAGAATGCTTTCTAAATCTGTTGGTCTACTTCACAGTTTCAAAAGTGTACATTGACTGCTATTACATAAGTGTTCATTGCTTTCACTATGTTCATCTAACTTAGCTTTGATTTCAGGATGCCAGTTAGTCTCTTAACATATTCAGCCTCAGCTTTCTTCATGATAACTTTGTATTTACGTCCTGCCTAGAAGAGATCAAGATGTTTGTAAGTATTACCACTATTGCCTCGATTTGACCTCCAGATCCAAGACTGAAACTTTTTGTCATTTACCTTTCCTTGGGGCACATGAAGAAGTTCACACATATCAGGTTAAAGTGACATTTTGATTCAGAAAAGAAACTCTGTGAGATGAAGAAGCTTG